CTGACCGAAGGCGTTTTGCCTTTTCACACCGACAGAATTAAAAGCAAAACCGGTGAAAATTGTTTATATGTAACCACAGCATCAGCCGCCGGCTCCCAGTCCCCTCGTAGCTTTTGCCTCCGGCCGCCGGCGAGCTCGCTGGCGGCCGGGGAGAAGCAGCGGACCCAATCCATCAAGTAAATCGAGTAGTTGTCTATTAGATTTTAGCCGAATTTAAATAAATCTATTACTCTATCAGGTTAGTAGCTAGTCAAGATACAAGCAAGGCAGGAGTTGAGTGGTCTGTTTAGGTTTGGACTGACGGGACCTTTAGGCCTTTGGCCTTTTTTTTTCTCACCAACGACCCTCCAACTTGGTGTATGAGCCTATGAGGATAGGTGACCCCTATTTGGTGGCAAAGACCCGTAGCCCTAGTGGATAGTGACTTGCGGCTTGCATATTGCTTGTGGTAAGCCAGAGACTTCAACCGGGGAATGGCTTGGTTACCGGGTGTGAAATTCTTCTCATAAAGCTCCAATATTGGGTAAATGTTTCCATCACTAATACCTCGAGAAGACATGGCTTTGTGTGTTTTGTTACTTTCTAGGGTAGATCATAGGTTAGACTTAGGGTTGGCTCTAGGTTGATAATGGGTTATTTGTGGGTAAGTAGAGATGTTCTCATATTTTTAATTTAGTTTATACCCGTCCCCAAAAAAATTGTGATTCTCGTTTTTTTAGGAGTCAAACACTTTCAACTTTGACTAAATGTATACAAAAAGGTTAATATTTATAGTACACAATTAGTATCATCAGATAGATCGTTGAATCTATTTTCATAATAGAGTTATATTTGGAGATGCAAATGTTGCTAATATTTTCTAAAATGTAGTCAAACTTATGAAAATTTGACCGGCATGGATGAATATCATAACGCCACTTATTTGGAACGGAGGTAGTAGGTTTTATGTTTTTAGTGACATACCCCTGTTTTATGTTTTTATTTGGAACGGAGGTAGTAGGTTTTATGTCTTTATCGGAAAAAGTGACCTAATTTATAACATTTTTTAGGTCACGTACACATGATCACATGCATATACACACCATGATTCACTAAAATGTCATAAATACAACAGTTGGTTTAGATTTATGGTCGTACATGAAGCATTTTCCATTAGAAGACATGACCGAATAGCTAAACAAAATGTGTTGTTCACAAGTCGAATCATAAAGAGAGGTAAACTAATAACCGAGCCCTAGCATCGGTTAAGTCATAATCTATAGCGCAAGTAGCAATGTGGAGCTCTGACCAGGCCAGCAAAAGTTCTCCTTATAAAATACAATTGTACAAAAACAAGTGCTACTATCATCGACACAAGCATAGTTAAGGGATATGGATGTTGTGTGATTTCATAGCATGCCTGCGGCAGCTGCAAGGAAACTTTGAGCAAAGTAATACTTCATTATGAGCAACAGTCACGTCATCAAAGATTGCTGAATTGGAGTGTTCTTTTATTATAGTCTGTCTGTGCTCAAAGGCATAAAGACTAGACATTGTTATAGCCAACAAGATCTCTACAAAGGTTGAATTAAGCTTTTCCGCTTTGACCTCTGTTTTGGCAGCTAATCAGCTATCCATCTACCTCGATTTAATTCGATGCAGCCATCATGCAAAGTGTGTTCTAGAAGACCTGGTACCTGCTTCTGTAAATGTTAATTCTTGCTCGATTATCGCGGCGTATTCGTAGCAAATTTTAAAGAAATCAATTTGGACCAACTGTATCATCAAGGTTTTTTTTTCTTTCTTTCCAAGTAGTGGTGTAACTGTAACATCAGGGTTGAACACACACTCAATATCTAGGTAGACTTATGCTACACGTACTTGCTATGAATACCACGTTGACGAAAGCACGGAGAAGTTGATTTCGGCGGTAGTACCTGTGTCCTTCAGAGGCCTATCTTTGCGATCAGTCAAAGTCTGCGATTAAAATGACACTATGACTGGACGTTGGCGTTGGTTCGAATTCCATGGCCATACGTACGTTGTAGCCTGTAGACTGCAGAAACTGGTAATCAGAGACTTTCTGGAGAAGTTGCATCAGACCAGTCACGCTGGCGAGCAACTTTGCGAACTGGTTAATTTCTCAAAGATAGCTCTGGCCAATAGGCGAGCAACAGATGGAGTTGGAACAAAATTGTACTACTACGTATTTGTGCATGTATATCTAACTTCTAGGTAATAAAACAATTTAGTACCGTCACCAGAACGCAGGTCAATGGTAACTTGGTAAAAGCATTTGACCGAGACTGAACTCTATCGCGGGCTCTGTTGTGGTCAGTGGTAAATGCCACGTCTCAGGTCAAATGAATGACCAACTGCCCTGAAAAATGATCAACCACCAACCACATTGAAAATAAGACTTGGTTACTCTCTTTGAAGATATATAAGAGATTTTATAGAGGTTCTTTTTGAAAGTTTTCTTTTTGGTTTTGGAATATAGCTTGGTATACTCAGACTGTGAAATAATAAACCTGGTTACCATGACACGATGTCATGCTCACAGACGTCACTAACCGCTGTTAAATGCAAACCTGGGCTTCTTATGTTGTTGGGCTGGGAGCCTGGGACTACCATTATCACTGCAACTTCTGGAAAATTCTCACGTTAAGTTTTTTTTTTCTCATTGGCCCATGAAATCTTCATGGAGATAAGGCCCGTCTATGAACTAGGTAGATCAACAAGATCAGGCCCATCCATCTTGAATAACGGATCGGGGCCCATCTTCACTTGTTGTATGTAATCCATGCATCTAGCAGAAGAACCTACCGAGGATGATTCCTTCTTCCCCCCCACACCCCCCTTTTATTTTAAATAACGAACCTACCCAGGTAAGATGATTGCATCTGAATACAGAAGAACTGAAGAAGGTCTAATGATAGCAGGACTTGTTAGTGCGAAGCAAATATACTCGCCATCTGAAAATGGGCGGAGCATAGACATATGGAATCAAATGGAAACAAAAACTAAAGATAAAAAACAAAAACCACCGGCAAGAACTGGTGGAAGCATCAGTGAATTATAAACACTACTAGGCTGTCAAATCGCTTTATTAGGAGGAGAGAGAGTACCTTCAATTGGGATCAGAGCTCAGAGGTTGCGAAAGTACCATATCAGGTAAGTGATCAGAAGCTTTTAGGTAATGACTAATGATGGAGTGCTTTATATGAGAAACCGTATCAGTCCTCACCGCTGGCCCTTAGCGATGATAACCACGGAGATTGCGCAAAACCCTGCAGATAAACACTAATTTACTACTCACTCCTGACGGCATAGTAGCATTTATCAAATGAGAGAAGAGGAGCACATTCCTCCACAGAACTGATTCGCTGGGATGTAAATCAAGACCAGGCATCACGTATGTAAGTTGCAAAAGAAACTTAATCATGAGTTCATGACAGCACACAAAGGATGGAGTAAATTGAACTTCTCAAGGAAACAATTATGGGGAGAGTGAGAGAGAAGAAGAGGTGGAGGAAAGAAGAAAAATGGAGAGAGGAAGGAAAAAGAAGAGACCAGCCCCCTTCAATTCTGTTCTGCATCCGCCACTACAAGGAAAGGCTGAAAAACTGCTGTACAATCATGTTCAGACGGCAGGAATTTGGGAAGACGACAATTGTATAGATATACAGAACTGTGACAAGGGTTGAGATATTTGGCACGGTCAGAAATGTGTACTACTCTCTCTGTCTTGAAATATAACATATCAAATGTTTAAAATTTGACTCCATTGTTTAAAATTTGACTCAAATTATAAGATATTCCAATTTGTAAGCAGTAACAGCATATTTTTTGTATAGGGAATCTTCCTTCCCTTATACTCTATATAGCAGAGAGAAAGAAATTGCGTAATTGAATTTGTGCACGCCAATTGTTTTGAGGTGATATCAGTAAACCACTCCAGTTGCAGTTGTCGATGCGCAGAAATATGCAGATATCAGTGTACTAAAAAAGATAAGGAGAAATGCCTGAAGTAAAGCGAAGTTAGGAATTGATTAACTAGTTTAAGGGAACATCTAGCAATAACGGTGGTGTCCTTTTAACTTGAGATAAAAGTAACAAAACAAGGGTACCGGGCAGTGTTGTACGATATTGCTTTTTAAACAGAAAGATACTAGTACTATGTAACATGGTGGACCAAATCATCGAATGCTTCTTGAGCACATTGCACATCGGATTAAATAAAAGCCAAGAAGTGGCTGCAATTAACCTAATCATGTCAACAGCAATCGAGAACTTGCAGAACCACTGAATATGCTGCATTCATTTCAAAGAACCATGGAGAACATTGTTGTCAGGCCATGGTGGGTCACTTGTATTTCGTGGCAAAACAAAAAACGCACAAAGTGGCAACCGTTCAGGTCACTGGAATGAGGAGTATTTTCCAGAATACAGTCTTTTTTCTGTAAAATTACTATAAGATTCCTGTAAATTTTCTATGTTATCTGTATTCCAATCTGCCATTAGCATCACGCTGCAAAGTTCAATAAGTAGAAGAAAAAGGACTCGGTAATAAAAAGGAATCATATACCTCGTATAGGTACCAGAGTGATGATAAACGGATAGAACACAGTATTTGAATATAAATGAGTTTGCAACAAGTATATGAAAATAAAATGCCATGTATTCCTGATATACATTTTGTTTCTTAATAAACTGAAATATCAGTCTAAAGTTACAATTCCAGACACTGCCTACTGTCTGTGGTGCTGAAGCCAAAAACCCAAACAATCCCTTCTTCTATACCAATCGAGTAGCCTAAACCCCAATATACACTTTCCAACTCCAACAGCACACGAAAATTTTACTATATCGATATGCCTATCTCGCCTAATCACAATGGATTAACCCACCGACACAACAACTTTTACATCGTACTCACTAATCAAAACTGGAAAAATAAGTGGAGAAAACACCCGTTCCACATAACGTCGAGCACATGGCGCGCGCTCTGCGAAGCTGGTCTAATGGTAGAAGACGACGGGCGGGACGGCGAGCCCGGAATCCTTGAGGAACGGGACTACCTGCGGATGCTCGGACAGGTCGTGGTAGAAAGCGTACTCCGCTTCGTAGTCGTGGAGGTCTAGCTCAGCCTTTTGGTTGCTGTGGTAATGGTGCTTGGCGTCGGAAGACTTGCCGAAGCCGAACACGCTGACTCTGTCGCACACTCCCACCGCGACCATGATGGCCTGCATCCCGGACGAGTAATGGAACATGGAGGCGTCGTGCGCGCGGTCCCACTCCTCGGGCACGCGGCCGGTCTCGGCAACGAATCGGCGGAGGGAGTAGTACTTGACGATGCGCGCGCAGAGGACGTCGAGGCGGGCGTCGGTGACGGAGATGGGGGAGCCGTGGCGGGAGGACGAGGTGGCGTTGCAGGCGGCGACGTCGAGGAAATGGGCGGCCTGGCAGATGTAGAGCAGGATGGGGACGCCGTGGCCGTAGGGGTGGCAGAAGCAGCCGGGTCGGCGCGCGCAGAGGTGAAGGATGTTGCTGTTAATGAAGGAGAAGTTGGTCTTGCTGCCGACGTGCGCGGCGTAGCCTGAGATGCGGGCGTTGTTGAGGCGGAACACGGCGGCGTGGGAGTCGATGAGGGCGCCGTGGTGGGCGCGCAGGAGGATGCCGCTGTTGCCGACGACGGCGCAGGAGGAGATGCGCCCGGGGATGGAGAGCAGGGAGGAGAGGCTGGCGAGGACGGCAGGGTCGTAGCGGCGGAGGCGGTGCCAGGAGCGGAGGTCCCGGCGGAGGGCGGGGTCGATGTGGAGCTGCTCGTGGCGCGGGAGCGGGTGGAGCAGGACGTCGTGGTCATCGTCCGGGTAGCGGCCGCGGCGCGGGAGCGGGAAGCTGTGGTGGAGGTGGAGCGGGTGGAGGAGTCGGTCGCGGCGCCACGCGCGGGCCCGCGACGCGGAGGCCGGGAGGCGGCCCTCGAGGAGCTCGTCCACGTCCCGGCGCAGCGGCGCCTCCGAGGTATCGGCGGCGGCCAGGCGGAGCAGCGTGGCGTTAAGGCGCGCCGGGTCGAGCGGCAGCGGCGCCGGGGGCTCCCACGCGGGCGCGGGCGCCACAGCGCGACGGAGCGCGGTGGAGAACGAGGCCGCGCCGACGAGCACGACGAAGATGAGCACGACGAAGGAGCGCCGCAGCGGCCGCTTCATCGCCGCCGCGGACGCAGCAGCCCCAGCCTGGGGCTAGCTGGGTCGGAGCCGCCGCATCCGCATGGGGGCACGCGCATCAGGCACTCCAAGGAGGAGAGAGAGCGTGGGGTCCGTGTCCGTGCGACCGAGCCGGGCCGAGCACTGTCCGAGTGGCGGGCGCGGGCGCGGGCGCGTGGGGGCAGAGCGAGTTCTTTATCGATCGCCGTGTGTGCGTGCGAGGTGGGGTTATATAGCCGTCTGTTTGGTTGGAGTGCTGGAGCTAACCCGAATGGGTTCGACCCATTTTCTGGTTGTTTGAATGGAGGTTTGGGATGGATAGGATTCAACCTCAGAAGAATATTCCTCTAATATGTGGGTTCGGTTGCTCCGTCGAAATCTGGCGGACGGAGCCGCTCCGCTCGGGTTGAGAAATTCACGTGCGCTGCAGTAACCCCAAACCTTATCCTTCACCTCCCCAAACCTTATCCCTTTACCTCCCCTCCACTCGACCGCTCCATCGGGGCCAAATCGCCACCGCCCAGTACCGAGCCCCCGCATCTCCGCTTGAGGTTGCATGGCCAGCCTCGCCAGCCACGCCAGCCATCCATGCCAACCCCACCGTCACCCACGCTGCCTGCTCAGCTCGTCCGTGCCACCAGAAGCCGCCCCGCCCGCCTCCAGGTCCACCCGAGGAGCCGCCCACCCGCCGGCCTCTGCCCCAGACCGGCGCCGCCCTCTGCCCTGGACCGGCTCCGCATCTCCGCCAGGGTCGCACCGCCCTCTGCGTCGCCCCACCATTTGCCCCGGACCGGCGTCAGGTCGGCCCTCTGCCCCGGATCCCTGCAGGTGAGTACTGGTTTAGTCTTGTTCTGTTGTTACTTTTTCATAGCGATTTCATAGCGACTTCATTGATGCGATTGATGAAATGCCGAGAGGCCCTGAAACCCGCGAGGGGGCCCCCCCCTCGACCCCCCACTCGCTGATCGGCCAGCGGGGCCGCCGTTTGCGTACAACGCCTAGATGGTTAGGAGCACCCTTTTCCTATGAATAGAAACAAACTATGGATGGTCTTTCAGTAGTATATTGTGCTCAGACTTAAATTATAAGTAACTTTGAACCAAACTACATGAATTTTAAGACCATGTTACCTCTTATATGGAATTGGATGGGGTGCGCTCAATATTTGCTTTTACCTACGATCTATATTGATTGTCTTCATTGTGCTTGATTGTGCTGCTGTATGTAGATGAATAACAGGCTCAAGGCATTTGTTTTTGCTGCTGCTGCACATTGGTTGTTGCGTGTCATGGCAATTGTTGTTCGGTCTAGGAAAAGAAAACGAGTTGCAAGAAGGGAAGGGATTACTTATGCACCAATATATGAAAGGGATAGGAAGAGAATGGAATACCTCAATGACAAAATCTGGAAGGATGACACAACTTGTGTAAACATGCTGAGAATGAACAAAGCACGTTTCTTTAGGTTTTGTAAGTTGTTTAGAGATCGTGGTTTACTTGAAGATACCGTTCATATGTGTGTTGAGGAGCAAGTGGCAATATTTTTGCATACTGTGGGGCACAATGTTAGGAATAGAGTAATTGCAACCAATTTTGGTAGATCCGGAGAAACGGTCAGTCGTTATTTTAACAAAGTACTTCATGCTATTGGTGAGCTACGAGATGATTATATTAGGCCCCCTTCATTGGACACTCTAGCTAAAATTGAAGGAGACCCCAGGTGGTATCCATACTTTAAGGTGTGAAGCTCAACCTTATGTCATATTCTAAGTTTATTTTTTGCCAAACCTAATTGACCTAATCTTGACTTCTTTGAACATCACGTAGGATTGTATAGGAGCACTTGATGGTACACATATAAGAGCCACTATTCCAAAGGAAATGCAGCATGCTTTTCGTGGTAGATACAAGCATTGTACTCAAAATGTACTGGCAGCCGTAGATTTTGACCAAAAGTTCACCTATGTGTTGGCCGGATGGGAGGGGACAGCACATGACGCACTAGTTTTACGTGATGCTTTAACACGTGAGGGTGGCCTTCGTGTGCCACAAGGTAATACAAGAACCTATGTCTTGTCCATAAATTTGTTCATCAAAATTAATGGATCATTGAGATGTAACCTAACTATGCATCATATGTTAGGTAAATATTACCTAGTTTGCAAAGGACTCGGGTGTGCCTCTAGGTACACAGGAAGACAGTACAGATGACTAGGACAATGGCTACATGCAAGTTTGCAAAGGACTCAGGTGTGCCTCTAGGTACACAGGAAGACAGTACAGATGACTGGGACAATGAGGTGCAGAGGATGGAGGTACAGAGTGATAGGAATGCAAATGAAGACAACAATGCGGCAACTTCATCGGCTACCAAGGCCACCAATCCTAAGAAGAGGGACAAGGCAAGAAGAGGGCCATGACTGACCAAGATCCATTGGTTGCTGCAATTAAATGGGGAAGTACCAAGTTAGCTAAGGCGATAAAGGAAGCGGAGAAACCTGACAATGATGTGCCGGATGATTTGTATGACAACTTGATGGCTATGAGTGGTAGTTTCAATTCGACTCACTTATCCTTCTACCATTCCTACTTGGTCCAACATCCTCACATAGCTAGAGCTTTCAACTCCTTGCATTTTGAACATAAATTCAATTGGGTTGCAAAGCACATTGCTGACAGCTACCCTAGGCAGTAAGGGTAAGTTGTAGTCATGGGATGGTTCTTTTGTTAGTACCACATAGAACTTTATATTTGTGGTCTAAGTAAGCTTGTGTCTTGCTATGTGGAAGCCTTGAACTTGCTATATATTGTGTAAGGCTTGAACTTGATGCATCGTGCAAGCATCAGACTTGATATTAGTGTGTAATGTGCCTATGGATATGGCCTAAGACTTTTATTTGTAATATGGCCAAGACTTTTATATGTGCCTATTATATTATTTTGTGTGCTGATCTTTGATGCATGGTGCAAGCATATGAAATATTGCTATGTGTTGAGCACAAATATTGCTATGTGTTGCATAAATTGAGGAGGGTAACCTCACCATTTCAGTGCAAAGGTGACCATATGCAGGTTCTGTTTGAATCCATCCAACCAAACAGAAAATGGGATGGATCCGACCCCATCTCAGTCCTCCAACCAAACAGAAGACGGATCGAACTCATTCTCGCAACCAAACAAATCAAGGGTTGGAGCCGTCCCCAAAACGTGGGTTGGAGCCACTCCAACCCACTGATCCCACAACCAAACAGACGGTAGGAGTGTGCTATTCATGGTAGTTGGACTTGGGGTTCGGCAAACGGGGATCCAATGTGCCCTGCTATGGTTCGTGCATCGGGCAGAGTAATCATTTTGCGTGGGTGGCCGGCGGCCAGCGTGGGTGGGGCCCGCCAACATGCCCGCACGATTTGAGAGGTGGGCCCGTTGTACGTACCCCTCCGGGCACCACCAATGGAGGCTACGGTGCAGTACAAATAAACGATAGAAAATATTGACATTACTACTAATATAATATAAATTATCACTACTGGTAGCTCGTAAAGATTATTTTAAAAAATATAGCTCGTAAAGATTTTTTTTTATTATATCTCATCTTTATTTTCTATTTTTTTATAGCCTGGATCACCTTCTCTCCACTCTGCGTATTACTATGACAAATATAAAATAACTTTTTTTATGATCCTTGTGGCTACTAGCGGTGGGGAAGGTGGGGAATCAGAGACTGCTATAACTGGAAGAAAGTGTGCACGCCACATTTGGCTGGTACTTTCTCTCCTTGTTTCAGCTTGTTTCAGCTTATTCTCTCTCACATAACACTATTGAATAAGCTCAAGGTGTGTTTGCTCGAATAGATGAGATAAAGATGATTGCAACCCCTTATGAAGTGATATTGAGAAGAAATGGCATATGAAGACATTGAAAACTCAAGTGGTTAAAATGGTTATATTCTCTTGATCTTGAGTATAAGTGCGCCGTACTATCAGGGGGATGCAATACGAATCATAGACAAGTCTCAAGTGCTCAAACTAACCAAACCCAAGTGCTAACATGAGAGAAACACATTAGCACAACACTTGCACTTGTTGATCTTGGGGCTTGTTCTCTGCTGGGTTGGATAGTCCTCGAAACAAGCTTTCCGGAAAGTCCAAGATCATTAAAAAAGGAGTTTGGAGTAAAAAGTTATGGCGTTTTCTGTGAGGTGACTTGTGCTGTTTCTCAGAGTTGCGGCAGTGCTGCACCTGTACAGGTCATAACGGCTAGTTTTTGAACTACAATGGCTAGCTTGTGTGGGGTGGCTATAAATACCCATCCCACGCCTCCTGGTGCTGCTGTTGATGCTCAGATCACTCCCAACCCTTCCCAAGCCATTTGTGTTCTCTCTCTAACCCCTCTCTTTGTAAGAGTGAGTGATTAGTGTTTGATTAAGTGTTAGAGAGTAATTAAGAGCAAGCCAATCCTTGGGCACTTGTCGGGCTTCGTCAATCTTCATTGCGCATTTGTTACTCTTGGAGGTGAAGCCTCCGAGACGGCTAGACATCGCCCAACGAGCTCCCATGCTTGTGGTGAGCCTCGAAACAATTTGTTAATCACCCCATTGATCTAGTGGAAACCCCTTATCTCAAGAGTTCACTCTCTTGACTTCAGAACGAGAATAAGGGTTGCAAAGCCTAAGCCTTAGTGGCTTCCTCAACAACATGGACATAGGCAAGCCTTGGTGGCGAGCTGAACCACGAGATAAATTTTGTGTCTTGTCTTCTTTATGTTTTGAATTGCATTATCCGTGTTCCACTCGATCTACTTGGTTGTGCGTATTTATGAGTGCAGTTACTTAGTGGACTTGCCACTGGACATCTCCATGCACATCTCCAAGTTTGGGTTCTAGGCGTAGCTGCTGTTGAAGCTCTATGTGCAGGCGTGGCAGTGCCGCATTCTCAGCGAGGCAGTGCTACAGTGCGACAGTGCCGCGCGACGAAGCAGTAGTGCCGCACACTCTACTAATCCGCTGAAAGTTTTATTTGCTGTTAATTTTTAGAAGCGCCTGTTCATCCTCCCTTTAGGCGACATCAAGGTCCTTTCAATTGGTATTGGAGCTAGGCTCTCAATTTAGGGCTTAACCGCCTTGAGAGACGATGTCGACAAGTGAGGATGTATCTCTAGAACTTCTACTTTTAGATGGCTCAAATTATGCATCTTGGTCCGCTAGTGTGCTTGATGTTTTTAGGGCCATGGATCCTCATATTGAGCGGATTGTAGATGTAAGCATTTCACCTCCTAGTGACGATTTAGCCATCTTATCTAAAGAGGAAGTGAAATGCTTACAACACAATGCTCATGCTACTAATGTCTTATTTAGTGCTTTGAGTGAAGATGTTTTTGATGCCATCATATTTGGAGATAATGAACCACTTGATGTTGCTCATATCATTTGGACCACACTTAGAAAAATATGGCAAGTCCAAATATGATGAGAAGACACTCTCATTGGAGGAACCACTTGAGGAGTGCTCAACTTCACCGACAAATAAAGAGCCTCAAGTGATTCTCCCAAAAGGCCTAAGTGATCATGCCACATCCACTTTCTCGCCAACATATGACCTAACAAAAGGCAATGAAATAGTTGGTGAGAACAATGTTTTTACATATGGTACTTCTACTTCCTCTTGTTCTGAGACTAACATTTTGAAGGAAGAAGAAGATTGCGATCGGTGGAGGCCAAATGATGAATCCACCTCACCAAGAAGCTCAACTCTCTATGCCACTCCTCATTTGGGTCTCATGGCAAAGAAAGAGAAGAATGTGGCAAGTGAGAGTGAGAGTGAGAGTGAGAGTGAAGATGTATCGGTGCAGAAAGTGACCAACACATAAATATTTATAGTTTTGTCGTACGTTGTGATCGGATGTGGCCTAGCACTCAATGACACAGGGTTTATACTAGTTCAGGCAACGTGCCCTACGTCCAGTTTGAGTCGGTCGGTGATTTTATTCCTGAGCCCAGGTGCTCGAAGTTTGCTGTGGGGTTACAAACGGAAGGGAGAAAGATGAGGGGTGCAAGAAGTCCAGTCAAACTCTGGTCTGAAGGGCCGAGAGTGACGGCAGCTCCGCTATGTGCTAAGTGTTCGAGCATGTGCTCGAGGTTTGAACCTGGTGGTTCTGTTGTTGTGTGTTGAATCGATGTAAGTGAACTGATGGATCGCCTCTTTTGGGAGAGAGCGCATCCCCCTTTATATATGAAGGGGTGGCCTTACAAGTGAGAGAGGGAGAGTGTATGCATGCTAAGTCTTGTTGCCCACGCCGTTGGGTACAGGATGATTGTAGGCGCCCATAACACTGTTAATGTCAGATGTATGTGGGAGGTTGCGCCGTCTTCTTCTGAGTATGGCAGACGTTGGTGCCTGCCATACTGTTGATGCCCAGAGGCATGCAGGGGGTTTTACCATGTTCGTCTGGTATGGTAAATGCCGGCGCCTGCAACACTATTGATGTCTAGAGGCATGTGGGGGGAGCCTTACCGTGTTTGTATAGTATGGGAGTTGATAGCACCCACAACACTATAGGGAAAATATCGGCGCCCACAACACTGCTTGGGTTCTGACATGCTAGGAAGGTTGTAGGGTACTGTCCTATATGTGTACAGGGTATGGTCCTCGGTATTGCGACTGACTTGAGTGCCCTACCTTACTTGGTCTGTCCGTTTCCTGGTCCTCACCGAGTGGGCGTCCCTGGTCGGTTGGTCCCTGTCGGCTCTGATTACGCCAGTCGGAGAAGAGCTGTAAGCAGGGGTTCGGCGCATCCCCGTTCGGAGACACGGGTCGGAGTCAGAAGTGAGCATTGTTCCTCCTTAGTGAGGCCTTCCGGTCATAGGGGCGGGCCAGAGTCGGAAGCAGGCGTCGTTCCTCCTCGGCCAGTCCTTCTGGTCGAAATTGGATCATCCTTCTAGCCTATCGTTTAGGTACTTGGGCTAGCCCATGAGTTGCGTGTCATTCGCAACGTTGTCTGCTGGGCCGAGCCTTTGTTAGGAAGCCGGTCCATGAGGGACCTTGGGTTTATGAACCCGACAAGATGAAAGTGATGATGATGAGTTCAATCAACACTTGGCATGTCTAAGCAAGAAAGACAAGTTGATGGTGCTCAAGCTCATAGAGAAAATTCAAAAGCAAGAAGGAACACTTCACAAGCAAGAAGAGTTTCTCATCAATAAGATCAAATGCTTGGAGAAGTTGACCAAAAAACATGAAAAGCTTAAGTGCTCTCATGCTAGTTTGGTCGAAAGGTATGAGAACTTGTCAATTGAGCAAACCCATACTATTAACTCTCTATCTTGTGTTGCTTAATTAAAAGATGAGAATAATATGCTCAAGGACAAAGTGGAGAGGCTCACTAGCAAGAATGAGACTTTGCAAGAAAGTCATGATAGGCTCTT